TGAGATGACAGGATGGTTCAGGGTAAAAGGAAGCACAAGAGGTCTGTAGCCCAATCTCCTGCTCCAAGCAGGATCAGGTGCAAGATCCTAGCAGGTTGTTTATGGCTTTGTGCCCGTGGGGGCTTGGCAATCACCAAGGATGGTGGCTGCAAAACTTTTCTGAACACCAACCAGCTCCTATAAATTACTATCCACCAGGTGAAAAAGGGTTTCCTTATACACAGCCTGAACCTCTCTTTTTTTCAGTCCATGCCCAGTTTCTCCCAGCCTCGCCCCATACACGAGAGGAAAAGCCTGACTCAAAAAGCTGCCAAGTGAGGCAGTCACAGCTGTGGTCTCTGCCTGCAGCCCTGCTGCTGCTTTTGGACTCTACTGCTGGGAGAGTTGTCACAAACTTGCTTTGGGAGGAGAATCTGTGGCATGTTTCCACATTTGTATAAAAATTATGTGTAGTTTACCATAAAACAATGAATGGAATAACCCATCAAAACATTTGATGATAGCAAAAGTCAGTATCATTCTCTGTGCATAAGACATAGGTGTTATTGGAAAGCGGAATTAACTTCACACTTATAACAGGAGTGATGTTTTTATATAGTGCTCTCTGCCTCAGACATGCACAGATCATATTAACCCACCCACTTCCCTTCCCTGATCTTCTATCAAATGAAGTGAAACACAAAAAATTCTATGAGTCTTCTGGGTATTTTAACACTCACATACCATTTTTTTCCTTGAAATTGAGAGCAGGGAACATGATTCTTGAAGAATATTTTAATTTATTTTAAAAAATAAATAAATAACTAAAAAAAAAACCAGAGAAAACACCAGGTAATGCTACAGTAATGAGAAAACACACCTTCCAGACATCTTGTGGGTTTTTTTGCAGTCTCCTACAAATCCCTACATGCACTTTCTGTAGTATTATGGATTATAATGCAAAATATTTTTGACAATTAGGAAATGTAGATGTATAATATTAGCAATACTCAAAGTATATTTCAGCAACAGCATACACAAAGAATATTAATTATGTAATTAGACCATTACACTAGTAAAACCTGAATTTCATTGCCTTAGTACATATTACATGTATTTTAAACATGTTTATCTATATTTTCCTTGCCTAATAGCTCTTCTGATGTCATTCTCAGACACCAGAACACTCCTTCTGAACATCAGCCCTTACACTTTGACATCTACCATACCTTGGGTCACTTTGTGGTAGTAAGCCTGGATCCACTCTAGCATAAGAATCTGTTTCCATGGATCAGAGCATGGGACTTATACCAAAAGTCTTGTTTCTTCCCTTTTCTCGGTATATGCCTACATGGGTTAAAAATTTAATTAAAAAAAAACAAATAAACCAAACACCTGTGCACCCAGCATTTTCTCCCTGTGCCTTTCATGTATTTGCATGACTCTCAGCAGGTTTCTTAGGAAATGCCACTTCCTAGAGAAAAGAAGAGAATCCAGAGAAACCCCAGACCCTTCTCCTTTCATTCCAGATCTGGCACCCATTACTCCTCAGGCTCTTTTTTCAGCTGTGTGGCTCACTCTGCCAAAGGAAAGGGAATTGAAGGGAACTTTCTACTCACTGCTTCCACACCTGAATTTCCACCTACCTCGTTCACTGTGGTGCCCACAAAACTTTCTTGTTTTTCATTGGCAAACAAGTGCAGTTCCTGGCCTAGGGTGTGTGCTGAGTGTGTGTGTGAACCACCTACAGCCCTTCCCTTTTCTTCTTCCCTCCACCTACAGCCCTCCCTACTGGCAGAGGCACTGCAGTGGAAAGCCCCACTTCTCTTTCCCCATCAGTATCACATCTGTATAGTCCTACACATGTTCCTCCCACACATTCTCCCAATCTCAACATACTTCTCATCAGTTACCTTTGAAATACACACCCATTTCCGTGTACTCTTTCCCAGGAATACGCAAGGCAATATAAGAGTCCAGATACTGAAATTTTAGGCAGATGGTGTGGTCCTGTTTCTGTCATACTTGAGTTTGACGACAAACTTTGAATGGTTTTTATCTCACCATCACAGTTTAGGCCCACTCAGCTAAGCAAATCACAGCCAAAAATATTCAGACACGGCTGTGCTGCTCTTCACTGCCAGAGACACGTGGTGCCTGACTTGGGGTCAACAATTTTCAGATGTTTCTTAAACTGTTCCTCAAAACTTCTCCTGTGCATGTGCTTTGGGCACCAAAAAAAATCATGTTTTAAAATCTTGGGTCACAACGATGTGTCAGAAGTACCTCGTTAACAAGATCATCAGATGAAGATGAGTGAGAATTTCAGTGTTTTACAGAAAAGACTTAGGAGCACAAGGGGTTGCCTAAAGCTAAATGACTGTTGAATTTCTGAAAGGTGAAAGGGGAATAAAAAGAGAAAAATTATGATGGATGATGTGAAGTGTACAACTCTAACATCTTGTTTAGACTTCAGAACTCTTGCAGTAGGGCAATGCTGTTGATGGACATTCATCAACAGTACTTTCATCTGATGTTGGCTGGCAGAAGTCCTATTCAGAAATAATTAGAATTGCTAAGGAGCTTCTGGTCAGTATTCCCTTTTCATCGGGTGACCCAGGGCAAAGAACACAGCAAACTGACTGTGGCTGTGACAAACCAAGTCTGTTTAAAGGAAGTTTGCTAACTTACAAGAGAAAGTTTAGAAGAAATCTCTCTGAAGTGAGGCAAGGTAAAATGAGAAGCAAGAAAGCAAGGCAAGGACCGCAAGAAACAGCTCTTTCTGAGCAGAGCTCTTTCTGAGCAGAGAAATACAGTCTTTTTCTACACTATAATTTAGCAGGGTGTTTTAAGAAAGTTAGCTCACTCTCACCTCATGCTTCTGAAAGCTCTTCCCAAAACAGATTGTGCTCTACCTTAGATTAATTAAATCAATTTACACACCCCCTTGAATCAATTCACAGGCTCTTTTCTCTAATGAACAACATACACTAAATTACAATTTGTCTAGTTTTGACCAGAATTTGTTAAGTTTCTGATGGGTTTAGTTAGTGCTAAATATTACATTTCACTAGCTATTAGGTATCACACACTACACCTTTTAACATCTGTCATGCCTTATTTGCTATCTAGTCACAGCCATAATTTTGCTGTTCTTCGGCAGGCATGAAGTTGTAATTAAAAACTACAGTGCTGTTTAAAGGGCTTAGTAAAATTGATTAAATGATCCCCCCATCACTGGGGATGTCCTCAGGGTCCAGAGCTGAAATGTAGCTACCAGTCAGAAATTCAGCATGCTAATGGGGATAGGAGTCCAGTGCTCCATGTCCATGCCACTTTTAACTCTGAGCCTTGATTTATTCCCTCTATGGCTCCCAATTCACTCCAAACAAGAAAGCACTGCTCCACACATGCATGAGCCAGGTAATTACTCCAACATATCTCCAGATATTGTCACAGTCAAATAAATGACTAATATTTGAATACATGAGCTTAATACAAAATGTTATCAAAATCACAGGAGCTTATTATGCATTGAAGGCTGTATGTGTGTATTACATATATTTGAAAACATATATATTACATATATTTGAAAAATTATCTATAAATAAAAAACTGGGATTTCCTTTTTTCTCCACAGAAAGTGTGTGAGCATCAGTCCATTCTGCCAGCACATGGGATCAGGTGTGTGACTGTATTGCACTCTGAAGGACTAGCACATCCTCTCAATTTTTTAAATTATAATGCACTGTGAGTGTGCCTATCACTTTGCAAACACATGAACAACAAGACAGCTGCTCCAGGACACTTGTACAACATCTGGACCCATGTACAACAAAAGGCTAAAATTCAGGTGCTTTTGAGAGCAAACAACAAGTCAGGTCTTCAGGGCAAAGTTGGTTATTAGAAGGCTTATGGAAAAAGTTGAGCTTCAAGACATTTCTTATAGCCTCTGAGTTTCCTTCATAAAATAAATGAAGACCCAATTTTTAATTAATTTAGATATTTCAAGGATGTCAAAATTCCTGGAGTTTGTGTTCATATTGTGAATATACAATATGCATATTCCCTTGCATATTGTATATTCTTGCACTCTAGTTTGAGGTTTGTTTTGCAAAAATAACCTGTTACAAATAACACTTATTAGCCACAATAGCCACTACTAACAAAAAGAACATACAGAACTGTTTTCATGCCCTATCTGGGTTTGCCCTTGTATACTCAGTGCCTTTGCTGTTACTCTCTTGATTTTAATGACATAACTTTGGTGAGTAGAGTAACTCATACACTGTTTGCGAGTAGTTAATATTTACTGATACACTTAAAATGAAAAAATGTCTACTTCTGAATGGAAAAAAAAAACCCTTCAAAATCTTTCTGATATCTCAAAATAAAACTGAGAAGTGCACAAGCCCACAGCTGTCTTCCAGGACAGATCTGGAGGGTGGCAGGCTGTTTGGTGTAAGATTTCTGGGGACCTGAAGCAACGGCTCCGCTACTGCGTCCCTGACCTCGTTCGTTTTTGGGATTTGTTGTGGGACCTGCCAGAGTGGGTAAGATGGACAAACGCTGAGGGCCTGATCGAGGCTGAGGTGCTGACCGATAGCTCCCGGCGCTGTGCGCGCCTTTTTCTTTCCCTGCGGACAAACTCCTCCGGCCGGCCAGGGAGTGCGGGGGACAGGTCGGGCTTATCCTGGAGCCGTCAGCCTGTCTGAGATCCTGAAATTCTGGAGAGAAACATCCCGGAGCTGTGAAAGGAAGCTTCCTGGGGCAGGGTGCCCGCGCTGTCCCTCTCCCACACAAGCCCCGTGGGGTCCCCATCCCCGCCGCCTCCCTCAGGCCACGGCCGGGCCCCGCGCTGCTCTCCGTGCCGCCGGGGACAGGGGAGGCGCCCCGGGGCCCGCCGGCGGCAGGGAGCGCGGCTGCCTGGCCGGGCGCCCGTTTCCCGGACTACGTTTCCCAGGGATCCGCGGCGCGGCCCCGCCCGCTGTCAGCGAGCGCTGCAGGTTGATCGCCGCGGCTGCAGATGAGCGGAGCCCGCGCGGGCGGGGGGGCGGCCGGGGCAGCGCCGCCGGGGCCGGGTCGGCGGCCGGCGCACTATGCGAGGCCGGGAGGATGGCGGTGGAAGGTAAGGGCTTCGCGTCCCCTGCCCGCCGCCCCCGGGGTCCCTCCCCTGTCTCCTCCCCCGGGCACTCACCTGCGCCGTGGCGGGGCCGCCCCGGCCCGGCCCGGTCCGGCGGGACAGCGGCGTCCGCCGGCGGGGCCGCTCTGCCGCCCGCTGCCTCGGCCTCGCCGCGGGGCATCCCCGGCCCCCGCGCACCTCGCCCGCCCGCCCGCAGCGCCGCGGCTGCCCCGGGCCAGGTGCCGTGGAGCCGGGCCGCGGCCCCCGCCCGCGGCGGGATAGGCTGCAGCGGCTGCCCGGAGGCTTCGCTCGGCAACTTCCCGCCGGGCCCGGAGGTGCCGCCTCTCCCGGCAAGGGCGGCCGACCTGCGCCGCCTCCCTCCGGAGCGGCCCCGGCCCCGCGCTCAGCCCGGGCGCCTCCCCAGCCCCGCCGGTCGCTCTCCCGCGGGCGCCGAGGCGCCGCCGTCCCTCGCTGCTGTCCGGATCCCCCGAGTGCCCCCAGAGCGCGATGCCCACGAAGCTCCAGCGTGCCCCGCATGGGCGCAGAGCTGTGCTCGGCCCCTCCTTCCCTGAGAGCGATGGAGAAGCCAAAGGGCCGAGATGCTCAGCTCTTGGGCAGCCGGGAGCTGAGAGGTGTTCACAAGGTGCCCGGCTCCTGGGAAGGTACCCCGGTAAATGAGGCGACAGCTACCAAGCCCTTGACAGGTGGATGCTTTGCTAGGTCTTCAGTAAATGCTGGGCTCCCCTTAGCCTTCTAACATGGGCTGTGTGTTCCCTTTCCATTGAGTCTTCTGGGAAGTTGGAGGAGACAGGTGTATGAGAAAAGGCAAATCTGCCTTCCTGCTGCCTGCTTCCAAGATTCACTTGGTTTTCTAGTGCTTTAGACTGAGGCAGTCTGAGCCCTGCTTTTGCACCTCATCATGCTTTATTCTGTGTCCTTGAGAAAATTTAAGAATCCTGTGTAAACCAGCCATCTGACCCCTTCTCCTGTGCTTAATTTAGTGTCTCCTGTGCTTAATTTAGTATATGACAGTATTTTTGTGTGTTCATCTTGTGACTATCATGAGTTTTGTTTCTCAGTTGTGCTGAAATCTTCAGTTCCATCAGACGCAGTTGCTTTATTGCTGGAAATCATGCTGAAGCTGTCTTTTGCTGAGTACCCAAGTGAGCAGTGTAAATGATGGTCCAGCAAAAACTTAATCGTCCTGGATGCAATGGGGAGCTTAACATCCCTGAAAACTAGCTTCCTGTGCAAATTCAAATAAAGATAAGCAAGACCACTGTGTCTCAAAAGGTGTCTGTCAACATCCCAAGTTGCTCATCCTAAGTGTAAGCCTCTCCCTAAGGCAAGCATTTCTCAGGCACAGGCTGCTTTACTGAATGGCAGTTTTGAAGACTGGAATGATACACAGAAGGAATGTAGTGGTCCTGAATAAAAGCATTACTTTGGTGGCAAAAGCCTAATGACATGAACTGGGCATGTGTGCCCGGCAGTGGGTAAGTAAGTAAATGAAATGGACTGCCATGCACCAGATGGTTCATATGCCAGCAGCAACCCCTGTTTCAGTGTGCTCACTAATGTCATCCCACTTGATTTACTTGAAGTCCTTCTCAGTCTGTTTGCTAGATCTTTTCAGGTCTGTAATAATTCCTGTCATATCTGCAGTGCCCTCCATCTGAGAATCTCTAAAAGCTTTGTAAATATTAATGAAGGAAAGCTCTGCTAAAGCTTTGGGAAGCAGTGCCTTTCCCTTCTCCTGAGATGAAATTTTTTTCTTTAACTCCTTCTTCCCATTTCCTTCCCCCAGGATGCATCCTGCTGTGGTGTGTCAGAACAGGCATTCTTGTCTCTGTGTTCTGCATTCCTCCCATTTTGTTTTTTTCTCCCTCAACTTTCTTGCCTTTGCACGATTCTGCTGCCCTCACACTAACACAGCACTATGACTATTTCAGCACAAGTAGCCATGTGGCCGTGACTGCTTTGTGTGTTTGTAGTGCATTCACATTTCAGGCCTTTTATTATCCATCATTTTGTGTTGGAGCCATGTTTCCTTGTGTGATTGTGCTTAAAAGCTTGCTTTTCTCTTAATGTACCTAGGGCCTTGTTGGAGCCCTAGGTGTGAGCTGTGTTCTGTGCCTGAGCTGTGACTTTTGGCAAGGAACATGTGGCATTACAGCTTCTGTTTGGAAAGCTGAGAGGTTACATGTTCCTCATGACTCCAGTCATCACAGCGTACAGACCCTGCTTTAGTCTAAAGTAGAGTTGCCATTGAATCTTCTAAGTAGATGGTTTTGTAGAAAAATGTCCTGGACTCAGGAAGAGCAGACAGTTGGGATTTTTTTGTTTTCTGTTTGTTTGATTTGTTTGTTTTCTTTGGAAGCATGCTTTCCTGGTTTGCAGCTTGTGATCTTGAGAACATAACCTGCTGTACAACAGTTTTGGAAGCTTGGAAATGAGGTTTAAACTGAGGTTGTCTGGCCTTGCAGTCTCTGCAGTGGTCAGCTGGGAGTCTGGCTAGGATGGACTTCCTGGGCTTTCTTTTGTAGAGTTATGCAAGGCCTTTGAGTGGTTGGGCCAACTGGCTTCTTGTGCAGACTTGGGGGTGGCTCTGGGATGCAGCTGGGGAGTGGGAAGGTGCCTGGGGCACAGGGGAGGCAGGGATTCTGCAGCACAGGGATTCTGCAGCACAGGAGTTCCTGACTGGAGCCAACATCCTGCCCCACCAGCTCCACCAGGGCCATTGTTCTATGGAAACTGCCTGTTTGTCAGCTTCAGCCATGAACCCAGAGTCTTTGTTTTGTTTTTCCTTTCAGAAATGCTCTGTATGGCTAAGGTGAAAATACTTTGTAGCTTATACTTTTTATAAAGTCTTTGAAAAATTTATTTTATCTAAAAAAATGCTGAAATCTTCCTCAAATCTGATTTTTTTAAAGCTGCCTTAGCATGGTGTGCTGGGGTTTAGCAATTTCAATACATGTCCACCTGTTTACTTAAGGAAACCATCCAAACTTTTTTACTGGGATAGCTGACTTGCATATATGAAGTAGGAATTTGGAGAATACTGCAGTTCTTCACCAGTTATGTATAATACATTATTTAGTGTCCCAAAAGAGTTTATGGAGACTGGGAGGTCCTTTGGGCTGTATAGTGCCAGTGCTTCCAGATTGATGAAAGGATTGGTGTGTGTGTATGAGGAAAGTGAGTTTGTACTCTTAATATGAGCCCGTTGAGATGGCAGCACTGCCAAGGTAAGTCTATTTTTAGACTCAACAGTTTTGACAATGTTCCTTTAAGTGTTTTTTCTCCTTCTAGTAAGAATGAAAGAACTAGGTCAGAGCCAGTAGAAAAAGGCTTTTGATCTCTGCAACAGTGTTCTTTCTTTTTTTACATTTCAGTTTGCTCTTGTGCAGCAGAGGTAAAGGGGGAAAGAGAGAAATGGTGATTTCTTCCCCCTGCAGTGTTTATTGCACAGGAAGGTGAGAGACTGACAGCACTCATCAGATGATGTCTGCATGCAGGTGATCCCACACAGTTCTGTTGGATCCCCTGCAGCTCTGATCTGTGGTGTTTTTGAGATTCCTTTGCAAAGAAAAGTGCTAATTGTCTCATGGAGTTCTTTAATGGTAAGTGTTTAATGAAATTTGGTCTAACACCTTGCTGTGGATAGGCTTTGGAAAGTGCCACATAGATTTGTTGCAGGTCTCCTCCTGGAAGTTTATGTAAACTTCCAGTCTCCTATGGCTCTTCTGTAGTGGGCTTATGCTACTGAGACCCTGGATCTTTCTATGGGATAGTGTGTTTTACTGAGAAGTGGAGCCTTGCTGACATAAAATGACAATGACTGGCCTTACCCTTTGGTAATCCTTAAGGAGACTAAGACTCAGAGGAGGTTAGGGCATTCTGTGGAATGGCATCCAGGTTGACTGCTGCAGAACTGAAGTTATTTGCAGCTTGTAACCAACTTCTATGAGAGTGATCCTGTGGATTTCAACTATGTGGTGTACCTTGGTTGAATGCCTGCAGTGCCTAGCAACTCCATGGATATTGAATGCTGCCATGTGTTTCTTCAGAGACTTGAAATATGGTGAGCTCATAGATGTGCTATGCTAACTCTGCCAAGAATGTCAAAGCAAGTTCAGGATCACCCAGAGGACAGCTTTGAAGCAGCTTTCAGTGTAGGTACCTATCATGCTGTTCCAGGGCGTGCCCAAAAGTGCAACTCTTCTGACAGGTATTCAGTTACTCAACTTTGCCTTATTCTACACCCACTTTGAGCTCAGACTGGATATGTCTCCATATCTGAGTTTCCAGGGAATGTGATCCAGTAGATGATGTTTCAGCACACTTACTTGCCTATGGAGCAAAGAAGTAACAAGCCCTGTGATTCAAAAATAGCACATGCTTCTGTTATGTTTTTGGTTTCTTCAGTAATTTCTAACCACTTCTTAGCCTGAGGGATTCAGACATGTGGCTTGGAAATAGCTGCCAGCTGGAAGCAGGACTGAGAGAGACAACTCATTTCAACTCTCCAGGTGAAACATTCACATTGGGTCATAGTAGAGGAGATGGATAACACCAATGCTGGAGGTGTATTGGACAGTAAGGCATAAGATTTGAACATCTTTGGTCTTGAGTTCTGTGTGTCACTTTCTGAACCATTTATTGCAAAAATGCATCAGCAATTATGGGATTCCAGACTGGAAGATAGATCTCTTATCCACATTCACGTGGCAGCCTCCTTGTTGGGCTGTAACATCTACCCCCTTATTTGTTGCTCAACAACAGCTCTACCTCCCACCCACCCCCACATTGTGCACGCAGCTTCATGGTTGTGTGTGCTTCTCTGCTTTGAACCACTGCTTAGAGCTTTCCAATCTCTGTTGCTCCGTTTGAAAGGGAGACTGTGAGCTGAAGTTCAGAAGGTGCACTCCATTGTGGGGATTGGAGGCCCCAGAATGAAGCTGTGGCAGCAAGAACCACCCTGCAATGGAGGGTCTTTGGGTGTA